ATATAATTCATGTATAATACCTTATTGTGAGTAAACAAGCACACGAGGGAAACTCATATCAATGATTACACGTTTCAATTTTCATAATAAAAAAAATAGAAAAACAACATCTGGGTACAAATTGGTTGAATTTCTTGTAAACATATAAAGTGTTGTATGTGTGAAAGGGATTACTTAATTTTTTTTTCATTGCTTTTCGCTAAAAGTCTTTGCATGCTCGTCAAATTTCACGGCTTATGTCACGAAGGATTAAAAATTAAATGAAAATACCTAGGTACAATTTGATTGGATATCATTTAAACACATGGTGGTGTGAGAACAACCTTTCATCACACGCATGCAGTTGGTTCAGGTATCGCCACGTGGCGTGTGTGACTCCGATTTGTTTCACCTAATTGAAATGGCTTAAATACGTATATATATATATATACATGTGTGTGTATGTTTCCAGCTCGAGACCAGCTGTGTACTTAGTTACCTAACCGGCTCAAATTCACCTACATCCTCAACCAACTTATATATACCGCTTAGATCATGAAAAATGATAACCCTTGATTCTGCCGCTTAGATCATTCATATCGATAACCTCTCACACTTTTCAAGCGATTGAAAAAAACAGGCAACTGTATATAATATGCTTTGTAAATGGTATATATCAGGATTTATTTAATGTTTTGGTGTGTTTATATACAGCAGAATGTCGCGGTCACTAAGTGCACCTGTGTTCTGCCGCATACCGACGCAAGTTTGTGCAGAGGTAAAGAGTAGCGGTTTTCAATGTATCGCTGTATGAATTAAGTAAACAAATCCGGAAACTTTATTCATACATAAGGATATCGTTTTTGTCGTTTATTTCATTTTTTGGTGATAGATTTGACATAAAGTGCCATTTAATTTGATATTTCCGGTTCTGAACTATTCACAGTTGAGAAGTTACAATGTGTAGGAAATGCTTGCATATCCGTTGTACGTGCTTTAGACGAAACCAAAAAGCAATAGTAAGAATCAGCGGGCAGTTATCATATTACACGTGACCGTTTCCCAGTCGCAACTTTTTTTCTTTTTATTTGTGGTTTTCATACGATCATGATAATCATTGGCAAACTCGTGCTGTGACGTCAACATCAACTTCTCATGAAAAGTTTCCGAATGCTTTGTGACGTCAACATTAACTTTACATGAAAAGTTTCCGAATGCTTTGTGACGTCAACATCAACTTCACCCGAAAAGTTGAAATTTCAGTCACTACTTATATTCAATTAAATTTTTCCTTTGTCAACGTTCATATAATTATTCACAGTTTAACGGTATAGACAATAGTTAAGTTCTTTTGCGGGAAAAACTCGACACAATATTTGTCTTGTTTTTAGTGGACTTGTACTGAGGAGCCTTGGTCTTCTCTCGCCGTCGGACGTGGTGGTCCAAGAAAACACTTTTGCCCCTCTGTATATACATCAATCTTCCGGGTGGTCTGTGTTTACAATCTTAACACAGCGCAGTATAAAAGGTCGCCCAAGATCCATTACTGTGGCTAACAAAGCACATCATAATTGTTCTTGTTTTGCTTTGAAGATGTATTCGCGAGTTACTCCCTGTGCTATATAAGCATCAAGTGTAGATACGGATGTACATCTGGTTTATCTTATATTGATTAAGTCATACATTGAGGGTGTGTGTACGTTTGTGCTTAACAAACCATGCCCGACCCACATGTAAGGGAGATCACTCTCAACCCACGTCCGGTTCAGTATGCCTGCGCATAGATCCATGACATGTGAGTAAAGCATGAATAATTTTCATTAGTTTATGTACAGTCACCCAGTTAACTCATGTAGATATAGAATTTCATTCAGTGATACTTCAAACGTCTTAAATCACTTTCTCTATGATCTCACGTCTGGCTTATGTGGCATTCCGTGCGACTTCACTGTCTACAACAAACCCATTGTCGGATAGTTTTATAATGTTCATCTGGAAATCCCACATGCCCACGAGTTTCAACATGACATGGCTATCATATTGCAATTCACAAGTTTTAACTAGATACGGACTACGATAATGTAATAAAAGATTTTTTTCATACTGGACAGGGCGATTTTTATTTATAACGACAATAACATGAAGTTAGTCTTAACTAGACACGCAGAGATAACACGACAGATGTGTCTTAACTAGATACGTAGAGATAGCACGATGGAGTTGTCTTAACTGAACACGTAGAGATAACACGATGGAGTTGTCTTAACTGGACACGTAGAGATAACACGATGGAGTTGTCTTAACTGGACACGTAGAGATAACACGATGGAGTTGTCTTAACTGGACACTTAGAGATAACACGATGGAGTTGTCTTAACTAGACACGTAGAGATAGCACGATGGAGTTGTCTTAACTGGATACATAGACATAACACGATGGAGTTGTCTTAACTGGACACTTAGATATAACACGATGGAGTTGTCTTAACTGGACACGTAGAGATAACACGACAGATGTGTCTTAACTAGACACGTAGAGATAACACGATGGAGTTGTCTTAACTGGACACGTAGAGATAGCACGATGGAGTTGTCTTAACTGGACACGTAGAGATAACACGATGGAGTTGTCTTAGCTGGACACTTAGATATAACACGATGGAGTTGTCTTAACTGGACACGTAGAGATAACACGATGGATTTGTAGAGATAACACGACAGATATATGTGTCTTAACTAGACACGTAGAGATAACACGATGGAGTTGTCTTAACTGGACACGTAGAGATAGCACGATGGAGTTGTCTAAACTGGACACGTAGAGATAACACGATGGAGTTGTCTTAACTAGACACATAGACATAACACGATGGTGTTGTCTTAACTGGGCACGTAGAGATAACACGATGGATTTGTCTTCACTAGATAAGTAGAGATAACACGATAGATGTGTCTTAACTAGATACATAGACATAACACGATGGAGCTGTCTTAACTGGACACGTAGAGATAACACGATGGAGTTGTCTTAACTAGACACGTAGAGATAACACGATGGAGTTGTCTTAACTGGACACGTAGAGATAACACGATGGAATTGTCTTAACTAGATACATAGACATAACACGATGGAGTTGTCTTAACTGGACACGTAGAGATAACACGATGGAGTTGTCTTAACTGGACACGTAGAGATAACACGATGGAGTTGTCTTAACTGGACACGTAGAGATAACACGATGGAATTGTCTTAACTAGATACATAGACATAACACGATGGAGTTGTCTTAACTGGACACGTAGAGATAGCACGATGGAGTTGTCTTAACTGGACACGCAGAGATAACACGATGGAGTTGTCTTAACTGGACACTTAGATATAGCACGATGGAGTTGTCTTAACTGGACACGCAGAGATAACACGATGGAGTTGTCTTAACTGGACACTTAGATATAACACGATGGAATTGTCTTAACTAGATACATAGACATAACACGATGGAGTTGTCTTAACTGGACACGTAGAGATAACACGATGGAATTGTCTTAACTAGATACATAGACATAACACGATGGAGTTGTCTTAACTGGAAACGTAGAGATAGCACGATGGAGTTGTCTTAACTAGACACGTAGAGATAACACGATGGAGTTGTCTTAATTGGACACGTAGAGATAACACGATGGAGTTGTCTTAACTGGACACGTAGAGATAACACGATGGAGTTGTCTTAACTAGACACATAGACATAACACGATGGTGTTGTCTTAACTGGACACGTAGAGATAACACGATGGATTTGTCTTCACTAGATAAGTAGAGATAACACGATAGATGTGTCTTAACTAGATACATAGACATAACACGATGGAGCTGTCTTAACTGGACACGTAGAGATAACACGATGGAGTTGTCTTAACTAGACACGTAGAGATAACACGATGGAGTTGTCTTAACTAGACACGTAGAGATAACACGATAGAGGTGTCTTAACTAGATACGTAGAGATAACACGATAGAGGTGTCTTAACTAGACACGTAGAGATAACACGATAGAGGTGTCTTAACGCGACGATGATACTATCAACACGACAATAACGTTGCCTTAAGACGAGGTGATAACACGCTAAAATTGTCTTAATTGGTCACGTGATGATAACATAACCAAGTTGTCCTAATTGAACACATGGTGATAACGTTATATTATTGATCAGGTTGTCTGGAAACTTGGCGATAGTAGGATATTTGTGAAAAAGAATTATGTGAATACTTGGCGAAACAATATAATAATTTGCTACTTTCGTGTGACTCCGTGCTGGTATTTCATTAGTCGTCAAGAAACGTTTTCCAAGAAGACAGAAATTATTTTAGAGTATGCACTCTAAACAACACAGGAAGACGTATGGTGTCAGCTTCAATATCCTTGTCAACAATGGATAGTTAACACGGGACGCAATTGGGTTACTTAGAAATAATTACAGAGATGATATAAAAGCAGCTTACTAATCGTGTGTTTGTCAAATTTCTAATGCACACCACACAATGGTTGATATGAGACTTGAACTGTAATGATCTTATTTCATAATTAGAGTTCTCCCAAAGGGTTCCCTGTGTAATCCATTGCATCTAATTATAGTCATAATACTAAGATATTTTTTTTATCCACGAGTTCTCAACAATTGATTAAGATTTGCGCACGCAAGAATTTGATTTTCGCTAAGACGATTGTGGACAATTAAATCAAAATTTCAAAATGAAATAATCATATCGCCTCTCACACTTCTAATTCGACGGCCCAGGCGTAAATAGCCCTCCCCTCTGCGTCGAACCTTGCGTCACAAATTTTTAGTTCATAACTTAACTATCGTGTGCAACCAATCGTTAAAAATCGTCCATGGACAATCTAGGCAATGTATAGATACTCCAAGTCAAGATTATATATGAATTTTTCATTATACCGCCTGGGAATTTGTCGCTGTGAGATTAAGGGCTGAAGAAGGAGGTACACGTGGTCAGGACGATGGGTGTGGCCGGGTGTGTGGGTGAAACACGAAGGAGGACTGCGGCGGACGTTGGCGGCGGTTGTGGTTCCGGCGGATGTTGGCGGCGGTTGTGGTTCCGGCGGATGTTGGCGGCGGTTGTGGTTCCGGCGGATGTTGGCGGCGACTGTGACTCCGGAGTCAGGAAAGTTTGGCGTGTTGCCACGGTTAAGATGGCGGGCGTTGCTAGTACAATTCTCATGGTATTTTCGAAGCGAAGCGAAGCGAAACAGAGAGATGTTCAACTACGACAAACAATCGAGTGAATAGTGGGGGAAAGAGTGAAGAAAAGAATAAATGTGGATTGTGAGTTGGTGAAGGCCGTGAAGGGCAGGAGATGAGCAAGCTGGAGTGGGAGGGGGCGGGGTTAATCTCACCTCCTGTCATCCCCAAACGTCTTTCAACACGAGTCGAGTTTCGTCCAAGAGTTTTAACACCGTGTTTTCTTTCTCATTGTTTTCGTTTTCAGAAATAATGATAGATGCACTGTCCTGTATCTGGTCAGTAAAATATGTTCATTTCAGATAGTATGAGAGTTGCGCCCCTTCCTCTGAGGCGTCTGATCTGTGTTGTCCCCGATGATTCTGACCAAATCTGCCTGTGACATGAATTTGTGCTAAACAGATAATAAAGTGTTGTGTTCCTCTACTCAGTAACATCACTACAGACATCAGAAGAGCGTGGGATTGGTCTTATGTTCTAGAAGAATAGTCTGTTCGTAACAGCAGTAGATTTTTGTCTGGAACAAACGTGAGCTGTCCTACGAGGTTGTTAGGCGGTAACGTACTAGAAAGATCGTGTGATTTATACCATTAGTGATTATAAACCTCGTTAACCCACATTCATATGGTATCACACTTTCTCGCTCAATTTCCGGCTTTTTAAAATCATTATTCAAACTCGTTATTATGGCAACCAAAAATTCAATTACAGTTTAATAATTCATCGTTTTCAATGGAATCATCTCGCCCGATAGCTGTATATCATCATTTTGATTTCTGTAACACGATGTTATGAAGGTTGAATACGCACGCTCCGTTTTCAGGACTTTTTCATTCTTATTGTTGCAAATAAAATTCCAGTTCGTTATGGTTCAACTCGGTATGGGTTAGATATCCTCCGAAATAAGATTATTTTTCATTTCCGTAAAACTGGCGTTTTCATTTAGAGGATATACTATTTATAGATACACATCATTTACACAGTACGGGGACTTCACAAGAGTACACACAATTCAATCACACATCTTCTATATCACTTCACAGACGCTTCACATAGATACACACTCAGATGGTTAACATAGGTACAATCTGTTAACACACTAACACGGCCAATATGGGCACAATCTTGTCACGGATGTACACAAACAAGAGTAAATGCCGTTCACACAGATACACACTAACACGGGTACATGCCGTTCACACAGATACACACTTATACAGGTACATGCCGTTCACACAGATACACACTAATACGGGTACATGCCGTTCACACAGATACACACTAATACGGGTACATGCCGTTCACACAGATACACACTAACACGGGTACATGCCGTTCACACAGATACACACTAATACGGGTACATGCCGTTCACACAGATACACACTAATACTGGTACATGCCGTTCACACAGATACACACTAACAGGGGTACATGCCGTTCACACAGATACACACTAATACGGGTACATGTCGTTCACACAGATACACACTAATACGGGTACATGCCGTTCACACAGATACACACTAATACGGGTACATGCCGTTCACACAGATACACACTAATACGGGTACATGCCGTTCACACAGATACACACTAATACGGGTACATGTCGTTCACACAGATACACACTAATACGGGTACATGCCGTTCACACAGATACACACTAACACGGGTACATGCCGTTTACACAGATACACACTAACACGGGTACATGTCGTTTACACAGATACACACTAACACGGGTACATGCCGTTCGCACAGATACACACTAACACGGGCGGGTACATGCCGTTCACACAGATACACACTAACACGGGTACATGCCGTTCACACAGATACACACTAACACGGGTACATGCCGTTCACACAGATACACACTTACACGGGTACATGCCGTTCACACAGATACACACTAACACGGGTACATGCCGTTCACACAGATACACACTTACACGGGTACATGCCGTTCACACAGATATACACTTACACGGGTACATGCCGTTCACACAGATATACACTTACACGGGTACATGCCGTTCACACAGATACACACTAACACGGGTACATGCCGTTCACACAGATATACACTAACACGGGTACATGCCGTTCACACAGATATACACTTACACGGGTACATGCCGTTCACACAGATACACACTAACACGGGTACTTGCCGTTCACACAGATACACACTTACACGGGTACATGCCGTTCACACAGATATACACTAACACGGGTACATGCCGTTCACACAGATATACACTTACACGGGTACATGCCGTTCACACAGATATACACTAACACGGGTACTTGCAATTCACACGAATACATACAATTTACACGAGTAAATGTCATCAACATCGGCATACAAGATACACAGGAAATCGAGTACACATTCACACGAGTACAAACACAATCTTCTCATGGGAGCTGCACGTGAAATAAGTATTCAAAAAGAGTTTAAGCCTATGGCTTTGCTATGTTATTTTATTTGGATCTGTGCCTTAACCCAATACAAAAAAAACTCAACCAAAACAAAAATAAACTAGAAATTGTTGTGAACAATTTGGCGGGCTTTTCACTTCTTTGGCGACAAGTTGACCGGAAGTTGACATGTATCCAGATAACGATATATGAGAAAGATTCCTTGTTTGTTAGCCTCTACAACATATCCAAAGATGAACTTTGAATCTTGAAACATTTAGGTGATATAACTACATAATAACGAAGAAATACACTTTTTAAAGGTTCAAATATATTTGACCCCTGTGACCTTGAATGTTGGTCAAGGTCATATTTGCAAGCCTTATAATGTAACATCTGATGATCAATATATCCCTAATATTAGTTCTCTAGACCTTGTGAAACTTGACAAGAAGATTGTTGAACACTGGTACCTTTTTTTGTATATTTGAACTTTGACCCCTTCGGGAAAGCGGAAGTTGACATTTTTGGCAATATTGTCTGATGTCTATTGTTAGGAATTGATTACATAATGATGTAGACAAAATATTAAGTTTCAATACTAATTGGTTATAGAGAAAATGTCATTTTAAGATTTTAAGACATTTGACCCCTGTGACCTTGACAGTTGACCAAGGTCATTCATATAACGACCCTTTATAGACTGTTGACTGGACATATTAAATATGAAATATCAAGTCTCTAGACCTGATAGAATTTGAGGAGAAGTTCGTCAAAGTTAGTAACCCGAAATAACAGTTTTCAACTTTGACCCCTATCGGAAACCGGAAGTTGACTTTTTTTTGCAATATTGTCTGATGTCTATTGTTAGGAATTGATTACATTATAATGTAGACCAAATATTAAGTTTCAATACTAATTGGTTAGAGAAAAAATGTCATTTTAAGATTTTAAGACATTTGACCCCTGTGACCTTGACAGTTGACCAAGGTCATTCATATAACGACCGTGTATAGACTGTTGACTGGACATATTAAATATGAAATATCAAGTCTCTAGACCTGATAGAATTTGAGGAGAAGTTCGTCAAAGTTAGTAACCCGAAATTGCAGTTTTCAACTTTGACCCCTACCAGAAACCGGAAGTTCACCATTTATCTAATTTTTTTTCTGACGAAATATGTTTGCAGGGTTATGTTTATACACTGCTTTAAGCTTAAGTCAATAGCTTGAGCCGTTATTGAGTTACAGCCATTTAGGTAAAATCGGATATGACGTCATGGCGGCCATTTTGTTTTTCTGATAATTTTGTAAATGACACTAAATGGTAAAGGACAGCTGGGGAAACCTTTCTGATATAAATTATTCCAAAAAAAGCCCGTTGGTGAAGATCTAGATCGAGTTTTTCCAAATTGTCGGCATTTTTAAAAGATCAAAGGAAATTTTCAAAATGGCATACAACGGAAGTGGTAAACGTTACAGAAAAACTAAAATCACGAAATTCATCGGAAGGACATTCTGCATCGATGTGTTAAAGAAATTTTCAAGAAAAGTCAAAATTGAAAAAAAAAATTTTGTTTTCAAATTTTCAAATATTGACCCCACAGCGAGCTTTTTTATTAGACATATTTTGTATTATAATGGCATGGGGAAAAGTTAGATAAGGAAATTGTCTACAAATAACATAATGGACAAACTCTGTACACTCAACGGTTTTCGAGTTACGGCCGTTTTAAAGTATTTAACTTATGACGTCATAGCGGCCATATTGGATTTTTGACCTACTTAAAAAATCTGCATCGTCACCTTCCAGTATGTACCTATAAGATAGTCAATACATATTAGGTGTGTTCTTTACTGTTTAAAAGATTACGAACCCACAAAGTTCGGAAGAAAAATAAGAAGAATAAGAAGAAGAAGAAATATAACAAAAACAATAGGTCTTTTCACCAAATGGTGAAAAGCCCTAAATAGCCCGAAAGCACGTGCACCACCTGTTTGAGATAAAGCGTTCTCAATAGATGTCACAAACACGCGCCTCGCCTAACACACACATCCTTACCATCACAAACACGAGTCTGACACACACCTTAACTATCACAAACACGCGCCTAACACACACATCCTTACCATTACACACATGCGCCTAACACACACATCCTTACCAACACAAACATGCGCCTAACACACACATCCTTACCATCACAAACACACGCCTAACACACACATCTTTACCATTACAAACATGCGCCTAACACACACATTCTTACCAACACAAACATGCGCCTAACACACACATCCTTACCATCACAAACATGCGCCTAACACACACATCCTTACCATCACAAACACGCGCCTAACACACACATCCTTACCATCACAAACATGCACCTAACACATACATCCTTACCAACACAAACATGCGCCTAACACACACATCCTTACCACACACACAAACAAACACGCGCCTAACACACACAACACACACACCCTAACACATATCACAACACAAACATGCGCCTAACACACACATCCATACCATCACAAACATGCGC